GGGGGGTATGCCAAACAGACACCGTTAGCTGAGAGAGCTTAAAATAATATTTGAAAGTTCTTATTTTTTCAACTATTTCTATTTTAATAATTTCGCCATGGATCATTTTTCAATCCTTCGGAGAGGGAAATATGACTGCGTCGAGGGGAGAGAGAGAGAGATGGGGGGGGGGGGGGGTATGACAGACACTGTTAGCCGAGAGCTATTTTCTTTCCTCTCCATTTCACCAATCTGGCCGGGTACAGCTAGTTAATAATAACACAGAAGGGCTAAACAGAAAAATCACAAAAATTAATAATAAGAGCGGATAAAAACATCTGCATAGATCAGAGTGTCAAAAAAACATAATTTATTTATATATATATGTATACGTTTTCTTACAAAATTGTCAGAAGTTCCTTTTTGTGTACACGATGTAAAAATGATTGATGAGCCCCCCCCCCATGTGTCCTTCCCCATAAAAAAACTTCCTTGCATTCCCACTCACCCCCCCCTCCCCCACCCCCACCCAACTTAAGCTTCCTTGAGCTCCCCCCCCCCCCTCCACTCTTCCCACCAAACTTAAGCTTTCTTGCGCTTTGACCCCCCCCCCCAAACCCCACTCACCCGAAATGAAGCTGCCTTTTGCTCCAACCCCCCCCCCTTGTGCTCCCCCCCCCCCCCCCCCAAGAAAGAGGAGGACGCACATCCCCTTTTCTCCACATGTGGCATGTGCCTAGGCTGGAAACCACTGGTCTAGCTGCTGATTCCCCACCTGCCAGGCGGATACTCACTTGTACGTGCACCTGGGCATCTATGTCATGTGTCTTGTCAGAAATATACTGCCGGGGCCCTAAAGGGAAGCAAACGAAAACATCGCACTCAAAACAGGCCTGTTGTGGTATTGCCATTAAACATACCTTTTTTAGCGGTGCCTAGCTGGTCATGCTCTTAGTACATTTGTTTCCATAGCGAAGCACACAAGCCATTGGGACGTGACAAGAAGAGGAGGAGGAGGAGAAAGAGGAGGAAAAGAAGAAGGAGGAGGAGGAGAAGAAGAAGAACAAGAAGAAGAAGAAAAAGAAGAAGATGAAGAAGAAGAAGAAGAAGAAGAAGAAGAAGAAGAAGAAGAAGAAGAAGAAGAAGAAGAAGAAGAAGAAGAAGAGGAAGAAGAAGAAGAAGAAGAAGAAGAAGAAGAAGAAGAAGAAGAAGAAGAAGAAGAAGAAGAAGAAGAAGAAGAAGAAGAAGAAAGAAGAAGAAGAAGAAGAAGAAGAAGAAGAAGAAGAAGAAGAAGAAGAAGAAGAAGAAGGAAGAAGAAGAAGAAGAAGAAGAAGAAGAAGAAGAAGAAGAAGAAGAAGAAGAAGAAGAAGAAGAAGAAGAAAAAGAAAAAGAAAAAGAAGAAAAAGAAGAAAAGGAAGAAGAAGGAGGAAGAAGAAGAAGAAGAAGAAGAAGAAGAAGAAGAAGAGAAGAAGAAGAAGAAGAAGAAGAAGAAGAAGAAGAAGAAGAAGAAGAAGAAGAAGAAGAAGAAGAAGAAGAAGAAGAAGAAGAAGAAGAAGAAGAAGAAGAAGAAGAAGAAGAAAAAGAAGAAAACATAGAAAACGAAGATAAAGAAGAAAAGGAAGAAGAAGGAGGAAGAAGTGGAAGAAGGAGAAGAAGTAGTAGTAGTTAGAAGTGCAACCAGGCCTAAAATTTATTATGCTGAAAACCGTTTCTATAGTATTTTCTTTATGGTAATAGTTTTTCAGTAGCCCCGTAGTGTTACTACTTCCAGGCGACTGGTTTTTCTACAATTATTTCTTGCTGCCGTCAAGTTACTGCCAAGTGCGGCGCTGCAACAAAAAAAAACATTTGGGAACCCGCCAACCCCCACCCCCTTTCCCCCATCTAATAATTTGCACATGAGCTTAGAACTGGCTCAATTTTTTTTCTTTAAATTAAGCAACAATAGTAATAATTTTTATTATTACTAATGAAATTATTTTTATAGTGCCCTATTAAACAAGGTTTAACAATGTAAGCTGTCTCCCTTCAGAAAGAAAATATTGCGGGGGTGGGGGAAGCTCTAGTGCTTCTTTTTCTTCTTCAGCTGCAAACTCTGGCGGAACGATTTTTGTTGCTCGTCCACTTCTAGAACTAAGTCTTGTTACAGAACTTGAATTTTACGCCCATAAGCGTTTTACACATGCTTATTTGCGCATAGACTAATAGTTCCTTGCCTCTCAGGCATATGTACTTCGACTTCCAATGAAACCCCTTATAAGTCGACTCTTAGGACATGCTTGTTAGGGTGACAGTGGGTTTATTCTTTTTCCCCTCTCCTTTTCATGATTTTAAAACAGAAAATGTGTCTATCAGTATATAACAGATACGTTAGAAGGTGTGGATAAGGTTGCTTTATTTACTATAATTGTTTTGCTGAATAGCAACTAAAAAATACAAAATATGAACTAATTTTAAATGTATTTTTAAAATGCTGCAAAAGAGAACATCATTATCGTAAAAAAAAAAAGGTGGGGGTGGGGGGGGGGGGCTGGGTGTCACGGCTTTAAAAAAAAATGTGATGTTGGAGTGGCTTCAATGTGCCTGATTCTCCCAGGTTCTGGCGCCTATGGTTACAGTCGCCTAGCAACATTTATTTCAGCCGAGATGTTACATTGCTCATTTTTGGTAGCTATCTAGTGCGGGACAAAATAGTGACTCTTCCAGGAAATACCCTTAATGGTCATTTATTTTTGATTTGTGAAATGACAAAATAACAAGACTAGCAAGAATGAAATGACCGGAAACGTTAACTCAGACATATATATTTTCCACGCTTGACAGAACCGCTGAAATCAGCAACTTCCCTAGTGCTGTGGCGTAAACACACTTAACGTCCACACATTTTTATTAAGAATTTATTTATTTATTCATTAATTTAGCAGAATAACAACAATAACAAAAGGAACAATGAAGTGGCCGAGGACAAATACTGTGCAAAGTTCGTTTCCTTCCGTGAAGGATGGCTTGAGATCTACAACTTGTTAACGCGTTGACGCGAACACAGTTTTACGACTTGGAATGTCAACAACTGTCTCGTATCCTTGGTGACATGGCTGTGTTAACGGTCATGACTTCTGGCAGACGAAGGTAACAATTACAGGACAAATAGGTTGTCACGGAAAGGTAGAAGGAAAAAAAAAGTCTGTGAGTGGCGTGTGGGTATGTATGTGGGAAAGATAAGACGTGTGTACGTGGAGGAGGAAAAAAAGGGTGTGGGGAGGGCATGGAGCGTGCATGTGTTCCTTTTTCTGAAGGTAAAGTCAGAATGACAGTGAATGTCTGCAGACATTTCTGAGACTCAGACACTACACAGACAGATATTTACACACAACACGCTCGCAGCATTCAGACTGAAAGAGGATGTAAAAAAAGGGGGAGGGAAGGGGGGTTCATTTATGTACCCGTGTGGTATGATGGAAAATATGCTCTTTTTCTTCTTCTTCTTCTTCTTCTTCTTCTCCTTCTTTTTCTTCTTCCCCTTCTTCTTCTTGCTCTTCTTGTTCTTGTTCTTGTTATTCTTCTTGTTCTTGTTATTCTTCTTCTTCTTCTTGTTCTTGTTCTTGTTATTCTTCTTCTTCTTCTTGTTCTTGTTCTTGTTCTTCTTGTTCTTCTTCTTCTTCTTCTTCTTCTTCTTCTTCTTCTTCTTCTTCTTCTTCTTCTTCTTCTTCTTCTTCTTCTTCTTGTTCCTGTTCTTCTTGTTCTTGTTCTTCTTCTTCTTGTTCTTCTTGTTCTTCTTGTTCTTCTTGTTCTTGTTCTTCTTGTTCTTGTTCTTCTTGTTCTTCTTGTTCTTCTTGTTCTTCTTCTTCTTCTTCTTCTTCTTATTATTATTAATATTATTATTATTATTATTATTATTATTTTTAATATTATTATTATTATTATTCTTATTGTTCTTTTTTGTTCTTGTTCTTCTTTTTCTTCTTTTCTACTTTGAATATATATATATATATATATATATATATATATATATATATATATATATATATATATATATATATATATATAATATATACATCCTGAAGACTAGTAGACACTAGACCACATACAAATGTAACACCATGGGTGTACCTAGATTCTCATCTGTCACCTCTAAATGACGTCTGCGCCCGACTGAAGGCCTGCACGTAGGACCAGCAAAAACGTCTCCCTGAAATGTGTCATCACTGGCCAGGTGTCATCCACCTGAAGCAACAACAGTGGATTAGTTCATAACTTGTATCTCGTCATCTTCGTGTGGGTTCAGGGACCTCTTGGGATGGGTGGGGCGCTGAACGTGGTGATAACGGAAAATACTATTTAATCCACTTCTCTTTTTAGCCTTTACAAGCATGTCGTAAGAGTAATTGGGTGCTTTCTTTACAGTTAAAGTTGGCTACAGTGCGTTTTGGAATGTTACTTTGTCTGGCCTTAATCTCTTAGTGCGAAAATGGTATCTCTCCCCGTAAGCCAGGAGAACGGTTGTTTCTGGGGTATGTGAAAACAATCGATTTGAACACTAATGTACACACGTAAGGGTATATAGCTAACAGCGGCGCACATCCCTAGGGTTTATATTCTTTAAAGCCCCCAAACCAGAACGGGAAAGTGGGGGGGGGGGGCACCCAGGTTGTAGACCATGCCGTATGGTGCTGGTAGTCACAGCTACTAATAAGACTTCTTCTTCTTCGCGTTCACCGGCTGTAAACTCCTGTTCCAGAACCTGAGTGTTGCGTGTGCATCCGTGTGACAGATCTAAATGCAGACTGTTTGTTCCTTGCATTTAAGGCAGAAGCACTCCGACTTCGAAGGAAGCTAACAATTAGTCGACTCTTACGACATGCTTTTGGGTAGGCAGTGGACAGTTTTTCCCATTGTAGGGCCCCGGAACCCACACGGGGGATTCACAAGACTGTGTCACGTGTACTTTCAATCATTCCTGACACAGGTGACCTCTGCGCCATGATGTCAAACTGTCCAGCATATTCTCTCTAGATCTCCCTATGCCTCTCTCGATGCCTCTCCCTATGCCTCTCCCCATGCCTCTCCCTATGCCTCTCCCCATGTCTTTCCCTATGCCTCTCCCTATGCCTCTCCCTATGCCTCTCCCTATGCCTCTCCCTATGCCTCTCCCTATGCCTCTCCCCATGCCTCTCCCTATGTCTCTCCCTATGCCTCTCCCTATGTCTCTCCCTCTCCCTATGCCTCTCCCCATGCCTCTCTCTATGCCTCTCCCTATGCCTCTCCCTATGAATCTCCCTATGAATCTCCCTATGCCTCTCCCTATGCCTCTCCCTAAGTCTCTCCCTATGAATCTCCCTATGCCTCTCCCTATGCCTCTCCCTATGTATCTCCCTATGCCTCTCCCTATGTCTCTTCCTATGTCTCTCCCTATGCCTCTCCCTATGCCTCTCCCTATGTCTCTCCCTATGAATCTTCCTATGCCTCTCCCTATGCCTTCCCCTATTACTCTCCCTATGCCTCTCCCTATGTCTCTTCCTATGTCTCTCCCTATGCCTCTCCCTATGCCTCTTCCTATGTCTCTCCCTATGAATCTCCCTATGCCTCTCCCTATGCCTCTCCCTATGACTCTCCCTATGCCTCTCCCTAAGCCTCTCCCTGTGCCCCCTGTCCTTCTCTAACTTTCATTATACTCCAGTTTTCTCCTTCCTATTTTGTTTATGTTTGTTTATTCGATTAATCAACATCATGGCACACGGGTGTAACCCATAAGAGCTAAGTTATACTTCTAACTGAACCTGAGTCTGAGGAATCTAGTACGGTGCACGGACTTCGTTGCAACGGCGAGGATCCTGAAATACTTAGGGTAGATTTTTAAACTAAAAACTTTTGCCCGGGCAGCGTTGTTAGGCTACTCTTTTATATTTCCAACTGCCAAAGATTTTTTTTTTTACGTGCGCAACAATGCACACGGGTGTACGATCTTACTAACCAGAGACCAGGGGGAATTACAAAGTTTACCTGAAAATAATGGCATCCTTTGCCGGAGCTTGAACCCAGGACGTCCAGAACTCGAGGCTAACACAATACCTCCACATCACTCAGCCCCCTTCTCCACGACAGGTGTTAGGCATACAGAAACTTAGCGAGTGCCGTTAAGTGAGCGACGTTCTGTAAATGACCTGCTGATCGACGACGACGACGACGACGACGACGATGATGATGATGATGATGATGATGATGATGATAATGATGATGACTTGTATATACCATAGCTTTCTGTAGGATATTCTATATGAAGCCTTGTATATATGCCAGAAAGTCTTCTTCCCATTATATGATTAAAGAATTTAACTGTCTAGGCGTTACTAGTGATAAGATATGTGGCCTTATGTATTTGTAACATTAACATAATGCTTTTTTTTATTAAACATACAAGGTTAATTGGGTTAAATATTCAGCTTTTTATATTAATGTTTAAAATGAAATTATAATGCAAGATTGTGCATCGCTCGAAGTCGGAAGGCAATGCAAATAATTTTGCATATAAAAACTTAGACGATGAAGAAACAGGAAAAGGGACAGATTTTCGAAGACACAACTGAAGGTTTCTGCAAAAGTCTTTATCAACGAGGCGAATGAACAACATAGTAGTGCATCAAAAATGCCAGATGCGTTTACAAAGAAGCTAAGAGCGGTCAAAAAAATAACTGCAAGACTGACAACCAGTGCTTCAAAAGGAAACTTTTCGGATGAAAATCTAACAGAGAAAAATCTCAGACATCCGATTTAATCGTATACAAAAGGTATGCTACTGCACATTGTAGTGACGAAATTACCTGCAGTCTTGTCTGGGTGAGGCTGGGTTCGTTAACCTCAGAGGAGACATGTTGTTGTTATCAGTTGCGTCATAAGACAGTCAAAATGTCAATGGCTTTTTTGTGTGTTTTTTTTTCTTTTCAAAATGGCCATGTTAAAAGTTATAAGCGGCCAACAACAACAAAAAAAAAAAAAAAAATTGGTGATGGATGGTACAGTCTGTGAAACACGAGGCAAAGGTGGACCTCCATGACGTGGTTACAAGACACTGAAGACGTGCTGTCTAGAAAAGCACACAGGGCTGGAGACTTAGCTACATAAAGAGACTTCGGGCGTGCCGTTAAGGGAGTGACGTTCTGCAGATGTCCTCAGGTTTGAGGTTTGAACAATGGACCAACATCATTGCACACAGGTAGTAACCCATAAGTGCTCCGTTCTGCTTCTAACTCAAGTCTGGGTCTGTAGTTGCTCAGCGCAGTGCACGGGCTCCGTAGCACCGGCGAGGATCCTGAAATATTTTGGGTGGACTTTTAACTCTAGATTTTGCCCTGGCAGCGCCGTTAGGCTACTCTTTTCGATTTCCAACTGCTGAAGGATTTTTTTTACGTGCGCAGCAATACACACGGGAGTCCGATCTCACTACCCAGAGACCATGGGAAATTACTAGATGTCCACGTGAAGAGAAACAAAATTCCAGCCATTACCAGGGCTTGAACCCGGGACCTGTAGCACTCGACACCATACCTCGAGACCACGCAGACCCCTGTAAATGACCTGCTGGTTCACGACGACGACGATGATGATGATGATAATGATGATGATGATAATATTGATGATCATAATGATGATGATGAATAGTACATATTAAAGCCGCCTGTAGGATATCCTATAGAAGACCTTGTATAAACGTTTTTTGATTATATGGCACTACGAAGTTTGTGTGCCGTGCTAAGAGCCTCTGTGTGTGATCTAGAGGAAGTGTCTATCTCCTACCTGCTCAGTCATCGATGCATACATCCTTCTACCACTTAGTCGGTTCATCGGTGTTTTTGTCCACAATACTCGACTATGCATTCGTCCATCAGTCTGTCTATCGATCTGCCCATGTGTCTGTCTATCGATCTGCCCATGTGTCTGTCTATCGATCTGCCCATGTGTCTGTCTATCGATCTGCCCATGTGTCTGTCTATCGATCTGCCCATGTGTCTGTCTATCGATCTGCCCATGTGTCTGTCTATCGATCTGCCCATGTGTCTGTCGATCCGCTTGCCTGTCTGTTTTCATTTAAACTACTAATCTCATAGAGGTTACGATGACATTTGTTATTTAAAAAGAAAAACGTTACATGTTTGTGTACGTGCATGTATGTGATATGTGTGTGTGAGTGTGTGTATGTGTGTCATACACACCGACCCATGCCCTCTAACAAGCACCAAAACAAGTGTTATCCTCAGAAACAAACTGACCTGCCGTTTAAGTTTCATTTTTAAACGGCTAAATCGTGCCAGTAATTTCTGTTTACAACGGAAAACATTTCTGCGCATGTGCAGTGCATATGTTTATGTGTGCATTGCTGGTTGTGTATGACAGTAAGCGCGAGATGACAAACACCACAGCTTACTTTGTCCTTCCTAAGAACCGAAAGAAGAGCGACACCAGAAATCTAACCGAGAGATTTATAGACACAGACAAAGGAGAAAGACGACCCAAGCCGACAGATCACATAAATTTCCGCAAACTTGCAGTTCACATTATTATTTGCAAAGCCAAGAAACATTAATTAATTGAACACTGGGGAAGAAAAACTATAAATCTTTGACTGAACTTTCGTTCGCCTTGAGACAGCAACGCTACTGGTGAGGGGAAGAAAAGTCTCGCAGCTTCTGGCTCAAAACAAAAGCTTGGGGAAGCCAATCATTTTCTAAAGCAAACATGTAATAAAATTGTATTGGCGGAGAAAAGATTTAATTGGTTAATTAATGGCCATATTGTGATTAGTTAGAAGGAGTTTCAAGTCCACCTTTTAATTTCCATATGGCCGGTTTGAAATAATTCGAGGAGAAACCGGGGCATGTCTGGGGTCTGTTTGTGAAGTGTTATTATCTGGCGAAGCCTGAAATGGCGACTTCTAAGGGGAGATCAAGACAAGAGTGAGCAATAATAGTTACGTGAGCATCTTTGAAGTTAATTACATTTTATTGCTTAGTTTTGGTGACGTCATCGCGCCACAACTAGTTTGAAATTGATTAAAAAAACAATGGGGAGGGAGGGGAGGCGCTGAGGAGAGGTGTGCCCTAAAGAGCCTGATTCTAGTTTAGGAGCATAATACTAATGTGCCAAATGGTGGTTAAAAATATTACACCTGGAAAAAAAAACAAAATAAGATATTTATAAACGAGTGTATTTTGAGAGACATTTAAATTGCCGGGGGGGGGGGGGGGTAGAGGGGGTGCTCACGTGACCCGCGCGCAATGAGGTCACCAGTTTTCGTGCACAATAATTAGCTATAGCTTTGAAATAGCATGCTATTTACATTAACTTGTATTTACTAGTATTCGTGGAAATAGTGCGTAGTGGTTAGTAACTTGCGTATAGGTCTAAAAGACTTGGGTTCGATTCCCCAGTCGTTACCGATTTTTTGACGAAACGAAAAAAGGTAAAACTAAAGAATAAAATGTTCTAAGATTCGCCAAGGTAAACAATAATTTACTTACATTGAAAGTAGAGGAACAATAGGAATGGAATTCAGTGGATCCCTACAAAACAGCTTGAGAATCTAACTTCGCTGATGATATTTCTCTTTTGTCCCACTCAGGGAATCAGAGCAAGATAAATTAAACCATACTTGATGCCAAATCACAACAGCCAGTTCTAAAAATCCGTAATGGAAAGACAAATATAATGAGAATAAATCAGGCAAATAATAATGTTTTTTTTTTTCTAATGGTACCCCACTCCAAGATGTGGAGTCGAACACCTATTTGAACAGTAATGTACATAAACATGGGTGACTTGATAAAGATATTAAGATACGAATACTTCTTCTTCTTCTTCTTCTTCTTCTTCTTCTTCTTCTTCTTCTTCTTCTTCTTCTTGTTCTTGTTCTTGTTCTTGTTCTTGTTCTTCTTCTTCTTCTTCTTCTTCTTCTTCTCTTCTTCTTCTTCTTCTTCTTCTTCTTCTTCTTCTTCTTCTTCTTCTTCTTCTTTTTCTTCTTCTTCTTCTTTTTCGCAGTCACCAGCTGTAAACTCCGACAGAAAGTTCTGGTTGTTCATCCACTTCTGGACTGCAGACCTGTTCCAAAACCTGAGTGTTGCGTGTGCATCCGTTTTACAGATCTGACTCATGTGTGTGCAGACTGCTGGTTCCTTGCCTCTCAGGCAGATGCACTCCGACTTCGAAGGAAGCTCCCACTTAGTCGACTCTTACGACATGCTTTTGGGTAGGCAGTGGGTTTATTCTTGTATTTCCTATAATAGGGCCCTGAAAACCACACGAGGAAGCTACGAATACAAAAGACAAGAGGAGCTTTAATGGCACTAGGGAATTTATGGAGGTTAAAATTAATACCAAACTTAAAATTTTTAATCCTACTGTTAAATGAGTACTGCTGTATGGAGCGGAAATATGGAGAACAGCTAAAGCAATTACTAATAAACTACAAACATCAATGAACTGGTGTCTGCGCAGAATAGGGGGAAATAAATGTTATGATTGATTCACTAATGCAGAGCTTTGGCAGAGGACTAAACAAATCCCAGGAGACCAAGAGGTGAGGAAAAGTCGCTGTCGTTGGATAGGACACACGCTGAGAAAACATGAGACTAATATAACTAGAATGTTTTTGCATTGGAACCCCCAGGGG